GCGTGGCCCCCTGAGGGGCGGCGAGGTCCCGCTCAGGTCGGCGCAGTGCCTCGTTTCGCTGGGCCCACCAGCAGCCTCGGAAATTGGCAGGCCCGCCAGCAGCCTTCGAAAGTGGCGATTGTTTCGCAGATCGCAGCCCCCCAGAGGGCGAGGTCTCGCTCAGGTCTGCGCGGGGCTCCACTCCGCTGGACCCGCCAGCAGCCGCCGAAAGTGGCGACAGCTTCGCAGATCGCAGCCCCCCCAGCGACGGCGAGGTCTCGCTCAGATCCGCGCGGTGCTTCACTCCGCTGGACCCACCAGCAGCCGCCGAAAGTGGCGACAGCTTCGCAGATCGCAGCCCCCCAGGGAAGGGGAGGTCTCGCTCGGATCCGCGCGGTGCCCCATGCCGCTGGACCCACCAGCAGCCGTCGACAGTGGCGGCAGTTTCGCAGATCGCAGCCCCCCAAGGGACGGCGAGGTCCCGCTCAGATCTGGACCCACCAACAGCCGTCGAAAGTGGCGATAATTTCGCAGATCGCTACGCTGCCCCCCCCCAAACAGCCGTCGAAAGTGGCGACAGTTTCGCAGATCGCAACCCCCCAGGGACGGCGAGGTCCCGCTCAGATCTGCACGGTGCTTCACTCCGCTGGACCCACCAGCAGTCCTCGAAAGTGACGATAGTTTCGCAGATTGCTCTGCGGACCCCCAAAGCAGCCTTCGAAAGTGGCGACGGTTTCGCAGATCGCAGCCCCCCAGGGACCGCGGGTTCCCGCTCAGATCTGCGCGGGACCGCGGGTTCCCACTCCGCTGGACCCACCAACAGCCCTCGAAAGTGGCGACGGTTTCGCAGATTGCAGCAACCCGCGGACAGCGAGGTCCCGCTCCGATCTGCGCGGTGCTTCATTTCGTTGGACCCACCAGCACCCCTCGAAACTTGCGACGGTGTCGCAGATCGCAGCCCCCCAAGGACGGCGAGGTCCCGCTCAGATTTGCGCGGCGCTTCGCTCCGCTGGACCCACCAGCAGCCGTCGAAAGTGGCGACAGTTTCGCAGATTGCAGCTCCCCAGGGAAGGGGAGGTCTCGCTCGGATCTGCGCGTTGCTTCACTCCGCTGGACCCACCAGCAGCCGTCGAAAGTGGCGACAGTTTCGCAGATCGCAGCCCCCCAGGGACGGCGAGGTCCCGCTCCGATCTGCGCGGTACCTCATTTCGTTGGGCCCACCGGCAGCCCTCGAAATTGGCGACGGTTTCGCAGATCGCAGCCCCCCAGGGGCCGCGGGGTCCCGCTCAGATCTGCGCGGTGCTTCACTCCGATGGACCCACCAGCAGCCCTCGAAGCGACGGTTTCGCAAATCGCAACCCCCGAGGGACGGCGAGGTCCCGCTCAGACTTGCGCGGTGCCTCATTCGGCTGGACCCACCAGAAACCCTCGAAAGTGGTGACGGTTTCGCAGATCGCAGCCCCCCAACGGACCGCGAGGTCCCGCTCAAATCTGCGCGCTGCGTCGAAAGTGGCGACAGCCTCGCAGATCGCAGCCCCCCAGCGACGGCGAGGTCCCGCCCAGATCTGGGCCCACCAGCGGCCGTCGAAATTGGCGACCTTTTTCGCAGATCGCTATGCTGGCCCCCCAAGCAGCCGTCGAAAGTGGCGATAGTTTCGCAGATCGCAGCCCCCCAGGGACGGCGAGGTCCCGTTCAGATTCGCGTGGAACATCACCCCGCTGGGCCCACCAGCTGGCGACAGTTTCGCAGATCGCCCCCCCCCCCCCCTCCCAGGGACGGCGAGGTCCCGCTCAGATTTGCGTGGTGCTTCACTCCGTTGGACCCACCAGCAGCCCTCGAAAGTGGCGACGGTTTCGCAGATCGCAGCCCCCCCCCACGGTTGGCGAGGTCCCGCTCAGATCTGCGCGGGTCTTTCACTCCGCTGGACCCACCACCAGCAGCCGTCGAAAATGGCGACAGCTTCGAAGATCGCAATGGGAATGGGGGGGCGGGAGGCGGGAGGGAGGCGGGAGGCGGGAGGAGGAGAAGGACGCGCGGGCAATGCTCTATTCAAACCGAATACCCAACCATGGAGTGCTGGGAAAAAAGGAGACAGCAGAGGAGGAGGAGGAGGAAGGAGGAGGCGGAGGAGGAGGAGGAGGAGGAGGAGGAGGGCGGGCGTAGGAGGAGGAGGTGCGGAGGAGGGGGGGGACAAGGAAAGGAGGAGAGGAGGAGGAGGAGGAAAGGAGGAGGAGGAGGAGGAGGAGGGAGGAGGAGGAGGAAGGAGGGCGAAGGAGGAGGGAGGAGGAGAGGAGGAGGAGTAGGGGGGAGGAGGGGGGAGGAAGTTGAGGGAAGTAGGAGGAGGCTAGGGAGGGGAAGGGAGGAGGAGGAGGAGGAGGGAGGAGGAGGAACGAATAAAGGGAAGGAGGAGGGGGGGGGGGGGGAAAGGGGAAGGAGGAGGGGCAAGGAGGGACGAGGAGGAACGAGTCGGGACGAGGGGGCAGGAGGGTCCGCGCATCCCACCGAACATCAACATTCTGCGTAAAGTTGCCCGGGGACCCGTTCAGAGCGGAATCGGGGCGGGGCCTGCAACCCCGCTCCGGGTGGACTCGGCGCCGATGGAGGCCCCAAAAAGGCCCCAGAAGGTCACCGCATGTTATGTGTAGAACGAAGGGAGGAGGAGGAGGAGGAGGAGGAGTAGGAGGAGGAGGAGGAGGAGGAGGAGGAGGAGGAAGAGGAGGAGGAGGAGTGGTGGAGGAGGAGGAGGAGGAGGAGGAGAGGGAGGAGGGGAGGACGGCGTGGAGGGAGGAGGAGGAGGAGAGGGAGGAGGAGGAGGAGGAGGAGGAGGAAGGGGACGAGGACGAGGTGGATAAGGAAATGCGACAGGGGGACCTTCGAAATCTCATATGGTCATGCCGCGCTTCTCTTCTTCAGCATACATCTGAGATCCGAAGTCGCGGTCCCACTGCACCGTCGCGAAAACTCACAGCCGAAGATCTGTGCTGGCCCCAGGGCCCGAGACCGCATCAACACGCCCCGAGCGACAACACTCGGCGATCTTCATGACGCGTGCGTGCGTGCGTGCGTGCATGCGTGCATGCGTGCGTGCGTGTGTGTGTGTGTGTGTGTCTGTGTGTCTGTGTGTCTGTGTGTGTGCGTGTTTGTGTGTGTAAGTTGGGATAGCCAACTACGGGAGCCTTGCATACCTTCGCAGTCGCACAACGGATTACACCAGCGTCGATTTGCGCCGATTCCTGTATTGCTGCCTCACAAGTCCGCCGCCTCATCCCCCTTTTGAGGATTCTCGACTGGTTCCACCGGGCCGCTCTTCGAGATTCGCAGCCTCATGTGGTTCAACCAGGGACCATCCACCACAGAGGCCGAAACCGTCATGTTCCCAGGGAACCTTCCGGTGATATGAGTGTCGCCGCCAGTCCGAGGAGGAGGCCGAAGCCGAGGAACAGGAGGGGGAGGAGGAGGGGGAGGAGGAGGAGGAGGGGGAGGAGGAGGAGGAGGAGGAGGAGAAGGAGGAGGAGGAGGAGGAGGAGGAGGAGGAGGAACGTTTCAGGAACGTTTCAGAAGAAAGACAGCATAAGTCTTGCGGAAGGCGGCGAAGCCGATGAATTGGCAACAAACAGAAACTGCACTATGGCTTCTGCATACCTGAATTCCGAAGGAGTCTCTGTTGGTCCGCTTCCCGCACGGCACGCGGGGGACCAGACGGGTGCGGGTACTTCCCCGCGCGAATATTAGCGAGGTTCTGGCTGCCTTTAGCCGACGGTTCACACTTCTTGACTAGTTGGCGGGGGTCGGTGGTGCACGTCTTGCCGCAAATCGTGCAAAAAAACGTATCGAACTTGGCCCACTTCTGAAGCGTGTGAGTCGGATGTAGGTCTTTCCCCGAGACTCTCTGGGGACCCCGAAGAGGCGAAAACTCGGGGAGGACCTTCTCACAGCAACGGGTGAGGCACATCTGGAAAATCGAATCCTGATTCGAGAACAGGTTACAGCTTCGGCAATAAAACTTCGCACCAACCCGACCCCAGGAATGCTCCGAGTCTTTCAAAGTTCGCGCCAACTTCGGAAATAGCGGCCCCCTCTCCCTCTCAGGACGCTCCGAGGTCCACGGATCTGCATGGATGGAGGCGGCCAGGGCTCTGCGCGCACGGCGGCGGATCAGGGCCGCCTCAGCGTCCGGAGCGTCCGTGAGAGGGGGCGGATCGGATCTGCATGGATGGAGGCCGCCTCAGCGTCCCGAGAGTCCGTGAGAGGGGGGGGGCTGAACCACGAATTCAGACCAGGCCAATTCGGCAGCTTCACTCGCAATGGCATCTGCACACTCATTACCGAAAACTTGAAACCGCAGGGCCTCGGGGAGCGAGGCCACCTCCTCTTGGTGGGAAGGAACCCACAGCAGCTCAATACTCCCAGGGCCCCGCGCGCGAATCGCATCCTGGACTCTGGCCCAGAGGTCAAGATTCTGGCCGCTACAAGGCAGCTCGGTCGACGCACATCCTCTGGCCCAGGCGTCCAGGAGAGGCCTATGATCGGTGACAAACCTGAGGTTCCCGACCGTGGCCTCGAGGGCCTCCGCGAATGCCGTTATCTCCGCGCGAGGCACAGTCTGCCTTCGCCCCGCAATCGAACAGCCCAAACCCCAAACAGGTTTCCATCCACGTCCGTCAGGGGCGATACCTATTAGACCCGAGCCGACCCTCCAACGCCGAGGGTCATCCGAGAACCTCCCACCCGACCCGTCCCCAAACAAGGTAACGAAACCTTCGGCGTCTTAGGGAACGTCTTCCAGGGTGCCAAAGCAAATTCTGATAGGAGGCTTCTCCTCGAAGGTCGGGACTGTCTCATACCGACCGGGGACCCCTCGGAGCCAAAAACTCGGGCAACTCTCGTGGTTCGTTTTGGCACGCATGGCCAGGGAATCAGACAACTCGAAATCTCTGTGGCCGACGTTGGCCTCACACGCCCAAGCTCGGTGAAAAAGTGTTTCAACCTCCTTCTTACACCTTTGACATTCAGCCGAGACCTGGTACCCCGCAGCGCGGAGGCGCTCACGAGGCCACTGGCCGCCCGTGACGACCACCGCGTTGAGCGCCCAGTTGTCGCCCTCGTCGTCGGGGCGCAGCCTGCGGAGCTTACGGCAGACCTGGTACATGTCCGCACCGTCGGCAAGGTCGTCCGCTGACTCGTGCTTGGCTGCCGTGCACCACAGCTGTCTGTCAACTGTGGCTTCGATATCGTTTAAAATATCAGTGGAATCGTTATGAAACAACTTAAACTGCGGATCGACAGCGGATGGGATATTCCAGGTATAGTGCTGATCAGAATCCCACCCCATCGGAGAAACAGGATCCCACCCGATGTCGAGAAGCGTCGACATCGTCGCTGAGATCGGTCCCCGTACAACTCTCCAACGGCGGGAGCCCGCGAGGCGCAAACGACAACGGATGCGTTCCCACGATCTCGCAATCCTCACGTGGAAGTCGGGACACTCCCGCCATAATTTCAACCACACAAGGATCTGCTCTCGACGTATGGTCGTGGCGGAGTCCTTCCTGTCGTATATCGCTGCCAATGAAGTAGACATCTGTCAGGACCCGTACCCATAGCACTCTGAGACGCTTGGCGCCGCAATTGAACCAATTCAGAAGCTGGTACTCCGAAAGTCTGGTGTGAGTACATGCCCTGCGGCTTTGAGCCTGTGCTCCATAGGCCCGTGGTGATAATCCGCAAGCGAGCATGACGTCTCATTCTCTTGATGGCTATGGTGTGCTGCTTCGCCTTCTGGATTCGCTCTCTCGCCTTCGGTCTCGTGCGTGATCTGCCCGACGTAGGATCTGCCCCGAGATCCACAGCATGACTCACTGCCGCGGCGGGAACGCGGAACGAGAGCTTCAAGGGTGATGCCACCACCGCCGTTTTGGGGCTGACCGTGAGCCCTGCGCTGACGAAGTCCTGGGAAAGGGCTGAGCATGACTCGATCATGAGGTCACCCACGCGCTGCTCCGCCCATTCAATCCTGACCACGGTGTCGTCAACGAACGTGCGGAGGAGGATCTGGAGCCTATATCCCGCATTGGCTCGCGCCAGTATGGGCCCCCTGAACGCCTTCGCGAAGCGCCCGCTCTGCAAAGATCCTGCTACCAAGCTCTTCTCTGGCTGCATGGCCTTGCTCAGCCACGGCCTGTCCTGCAGATGCCTCGGGGCCAGGAACCGCCGCAGCTCCAGCGCCAATACGATCGCGGGGGACCCCTGCTGGAGCCCCGCGGCGCACATCTTCACAATCGAAATGCTGTCGTGCAATATCTCAAAATCAAGCAACAGAGTCGCCGAATCTATCGTCACCTCATGGCAGGGCACGTCCATCAAAAAGCGTGTCAAGGCCGCCTGGAGGGCGGGTGACCCCCTGATGGCGGGTTCCCAGTGCTCGTCGGCCTCGATGGCCCATCGGAGGGAGGCTGGACTCCGCATTGTGCTCCACAGTTTGACAAGGAATGGCAATTACCCTAAGATGCGGTCCCCCCCCCCGCGGCTTGGGAGCGACCGCTGCAAGCGCCGTGAAAATCTGTTCAGGCAACATGCCCGAGTATTCGATGTTCTGTAAGAGCGTCAACAACTGTGCCCGAGTGTGAGATGGAAGTCGCCGCGCCTCAACTGTGCCCATGGCGTCGACCCCTTTCGCTTTCTTGCCGTTCATGCCAGACAGTGCTTTGTCCAGCATCTCAAGCGTCAGCTGCGGAAGATCTTGAGCCTCGGCCCGACGACGGACGTGCAACAGACCAGCTGTAATACTGTCAGGGGCCATAGAACAATATTTTCAAATGTGGGCCCAATCATCAGCTCTCTTGTCCATCATCTCATCAGGAACCGAAAACACCTGGGAGTCAGCTATAATCCCATCTGGCTTGTCGATGGAACCCTTCACATGTCGATGCAGTGCTCCAGCGGATTCCTTCCACATCTTCGTAGCCCATACCTGGAATCCCTTGCGGGCTCTGGCCATCGACGTTCCGATGGCGCGACACTTGTAGTTCCCCGCTCTGTCGATGATGGTCTCAAGCTCGTCGTCAGAAGCTTCGTCTATCTGCTGGATCGCCGCAATCTAATGTCGAGAGGTTTCTGTAGCTCGGTGTCATGGCCAACGTCGAGCAACTCGTGGATCTTCGCCAACACTAGGTAAGATCATCAGCCCGTGCCGCGCGTCGGAGAACCACCAGCCTGGACAACAGGGGCGTGCAACCATTCCACCATTCAAGGTGGGGATCCCTCATGTGAGATCTTGATGGGGTCGCGCGTGTCTGCTTCCATTCAATAGAATACCCTTTGCCACGGCCACGACACTTCTGGGCGATTTCTTCAGGTACTGCGCGATGCATAATCGTAGCCTCCTCGACCCTTAACCAGCGGCCGTGCTCGGCGGCAATCTGGTCACCAAGGGAGGGGTCACGGTCTATAAGGAAGTGGGGTCGCCCAGCTGGGAGATGCACGTGCGGATTGTCGCAGGCCATGTCCCAGGTCGAAGATGGAATCGCGAAAGGGGCGGCGGGCTCAGGGTCAGCAGGAGGGCGGGCTTGGACGTTCAGCTCTTCGAATGCTTCCTGCAGGTGCCCCTCCAAAGCTCGCGTGCGCTTCTCACGCGCCTGGGGCAACGCTCTCTGTCTTTTGCTCTCTGGGTTAGGA